CCAAACCCGCCCGGAGAAGTCCAACGTTGTCACTCGCGCTGTGCCGGGGGGCGGGGCTGACTATGCACTATGTACTCATCCGGCTCCCTGCTTTCTTTATATTTCGGGGCATCAGCCAATGTTTGATGAATGTTAGCCGCCGTGGCTTCGTAGATATCTCTCGGGGTCCCGACTCCGCCCCCTGCTGTAGCTCTTCTTCGGTCACTCAGCGGAGTCTCACGCCTCCTGCCCTTTCATCATTAAACATACTAGGTAGCGTGGAGTGGGCCTCATGCTATGGCTGAGATCACGGGAGAGCTGGCAGGTGGACACGCCCTTGAAGTGTGGGAACGTTCACAAGAGTCCGCCACGTTCACACCGTGGAAGCCGCCATCTTGTGAGTCAGAGTCTCTTTACTGGAAAGCCGCGATGCCATTGGCTTCTAGGCAGTTGCTGGGAGTGGTCACTGCTTGCTTTGTGAGCTGTGGTCATGGGGGTGCCCCTTCAATGCATATACCCCGGCTTCCTGCGGAGGGGGGGGGGGGACAGTAATGAGAAGGGACGGAGGCGTGTCATGCTGGTAATGCTCCCCTGTATCTAATGGTGGCCGTACGCAGGGCCAACGTCCTACCAATCTCCAGTGATGGAGCAGACGATGCAACCTACCACCCTCTCTGCCATGTAGATCTAGAGGTCAGCTGATCAATTTGATTGTCTTGGGTGGAAATGTCACCAGAAGACATTCCCTTCACCTCCATGCCGGGGTGCTCCAGATACTTGGGGGTACATGCCTTCAGCTATGCACTGCTTGGAGCATAATTGGCCAATCACCAAGCCTGTCCCGGGGGGGGAGGGGATTTTTATTTGGCAGCTGGGGTTTGAAGGTAAAAGCAGAAACATTATATGGTGCCGGGTGTACGGAGACGCTTCATCAGTCTATATGCAGATAAATCTTATGGACGGAGTGGAAGAGATAATACAAAGATGATGGTTTCTGGTTGGCGGTCCTTTGCTGTCCCCTATTATATGTTTAGGGAGTTCCGCTAATGTCCCCCCCTAAAACAAACGCGGCTGCAGAAGTCGGCTCGCTGGCTGGGTTCTTCATCTAAACGATGGCGCGGTGATAAAGGACGAATGTGCGATTGAAGGACGAGACGCAGCACAGCCGCCAAGAAGCTGGAGAATGTCGCCGTCTGCGTTGCAGGAACCTCGGCTGTCTGCTGGCTCCCGGCC